CTCTGTAAGGAGTTGCAGTTCCAAGCAGGGTTATAGAAACTCACAAAGCGGCTGGAATTGTTGTTGCGCACAGTCTTGGCGTTGCCAAAGGCCTCCAGCAGTGGGTTTGACTGTAGGATGATATCTTTGACGTGCTGAGGGCAGAGGCAGGGAAAAAGAGGTTGGTGTAAGTCACGTGGGTGAAATAGAAGGGGATCCCACCTGTCCTTCCATTCTTTTCTTACCTGAACCTTCTCTCCCCCACCAGACACCTTGGAGATATAGCCCATGATGTATTTAGCAGCCACTGTCTTCCCAGCTCCACTCTCTCCACTGGAGGAGGTTAGAAGAAGGAACGGTCAGTGTCCAAGGGTGATGGAAAGGGCCCTTTTTAATGCCTGGACATTCATTCATTCATTCATTCATTCATTCATTATTATTGAGCACCTACAGTGTACCAGTCACTACTCTAGGTACCTGAGATACACTAGTAAACAAGTTAGATAAACATTTTTGCCCTCAAAATAAAAATAAGGTGATGTGGTGGGGCAGGCTGGTGAGATGACCCAGTGGGTAAAGTTTCTTGCTGGCAAGCCTAGTGAGCTGAATCGGCTGGAAGCAGAGAACTGATTCTTGTGAACTTAATTTTTAATAACATGCATGTGTCCCTCCAACTAATGTTTCAGTAAAAAGGGAAGTGAGAAGTGTGTGCAACTTGTTCCTCTGGAGAGGTTGAGGGAATGCTTTCTCACCATTAAGGATAAAGGCAGATGACCATCTGGACCCACAGGAACCATCCACTTTCTCCTGACTGGGACAGTAGTCACATGTGAAAGATGTGGAGATTACTAATGTGGGCTTTTAGAAGACTCAATATTTATGCTTAGCAACAGTATTCAAGCAAATGATCATTTCTTCTATTATCTAAAAAGTATACATTCCACATTTTAATAACTTGATCCCAAGAACATGGTCCCATGTCTCCAGAAAGAAGATTCTTAGCAGCACCTAAATTATACTCAGTCTTACTATTGTTTATTTAATGGGGTTTAAAAAAAGTCAAACGTAACCCTGTCATGTTTTACGAATATAAAAACTGCTAAATGCATTTTATTGAATGGTGTTCCCTTCCTGTGAGCTCTTCAACAAAACTGAAACCAACCCAGGTGTCTGTGATTTCTGTTTAATCACTGTTGGCCATTACGTATAGGTCTTTTGTTTGGGGCAGGGAGGGGCTCTTGTTCTCTTTGGACATGGTATAGTCAGTGCACTAACAATTATGTACATTCAAACTTGATTATTTTAAATATGATCCTCAGCTGTACTGTAAATAGGGTACTGCATTGTAGTCTCCATATGTTTATTTTTTCTGTAATATTTAAGAGCTGCTTAAAAGTATACAAAATGTACAGTTACTAAAACAGCTAATTATTTCTTTCCCCCTGTGAGAGAAAGGGGCTTCAGTTGTTCCTACAGGCTAGAACCTTAATAAACGGTGTACCTGTGATTGTAACATAAGTATTACAATGTTAGTAACAACCTTGCAGCCTTGTTTTTCAAAGTCCATTTTATTTCGATCAATTCAGTATATTGCACTAATTATTTTAGGTATTTTCATTATATGAAATCTACCATGTGTCAGATGATTTAATCTATTTAAGTGTTGAACTGCTAGCAGAACTTGTACATTTTACAGTAACTCAGAATTGGTAAGGAAAACAGTTCACCAGTGTTTAGTTTTATATTGAGGTGCTCAGGTTGGAATAAAGTGGTCTAAAAAGCAAAAAAAAAAAAATGTACAAATAATAAATAAAATATATTTTTAAGTCCTTTGGGTCAGAGAGATGGCTTCAGTGGGCTAAAGGCACTTGCCGCCAGTCCTGAGGAACTGAGTTTGATCCCTTGGACCCATGAGATGAAATGAGAGAAGTTATTCTCTGACCTTCACATGAGACAGGGCCTCTCACTGAACCAGGAGCTATGCTGGTGGCCAGCAAGCCCCGCAATCTTCCTGTTTCCATCTCCCACAGTGCTGGGGTTGGCAAGTGTGTGTGGCCATGTCTGGCTCTTTACTTGGGTGCTAGAGATTTGAACTCACATTCTCATGTTTGAACAGCACTCTTAACCTGCTGAGCCATCTCCCCAGCCCCTAACCTGATATTTAGACAAAACCAATGGGCAATAGTAGAATGAGTAACAAAACATATCAGGGGCCAAAAGATTTAAGAAACAGGGTGGTAGGGACAGAGAACAGCAAGGCACGGTTTGGTTTGGGAGTTCTTGACAAACCACCCCTAGTGGTGGTGGTGTTGATGTTTGAGCACATGCCTGGACAGAATGTCCCAGAATCCTCCATTCTGCTGCTATACCTGATAATGACACATTGATTCTCAGAGTCGATCAGCATGTTCCGGTACATGTTGTCAGTAAGGGCATAGATGTGGGGAGGATTCTCATATTGAGCCTGTGGGGGAGGTCAGGTTTCAGCCCAGAGCTGGGGGCTGGGAGGATGTCCCAGGGTTGTTCCACCCACCAGGACCCTGGCCTCACCGCGCCCTGGTAGAGGTCAATCTCCCGGTCAGTGAAGTAGGGCATCTGCTTGAAGGGGTTAACAGAGATAAGCACCGAGCCGATGTATGTCTGAGAGGTGGTCAAGGGCCACATAATGTCTTGCTTTGTTTTTCAAGTACTTCTGACCCCTCACTCTGTCCTCCAGGACTTCCCAGAACCCCTTTGCTGGGAGACAGAGACGTTTGAATGCACCTCGAGTCTCTTAGGGCAAAACATGGCTGGATCCAGAAAGAGGGGACAGGGAGGTGCAGTAACTGAGATTACCCCAGGGCAGGGGAGCAGTGGTTGCCACAGCTGTCTCCAACCACAGCCCCACTGGCACTTGCTCTAGTCTCCTGGGCTCTCACTGCTCATCATTCCTCCTTTCATTCACCCTCTTCTCTGACCCTGGCTGTTTCCACTTCCTTTCCACTGCCACCTCTGCCTTCCTTCCCCTCCCCTCAGTACACCACCCTTTCTTCAATGCTCAGTCATCCTCTCGCCCTCCTCCCACAGCCCAGGATACGAAGATGTAGTCATCCATGAAGCGCTTGCGGAGGTTGCTCACGATGGCGTCCTCAGTGATCTGTGGCAGCAGTACCATGTCGTCCACGCCACTCTGCTTCACGTTGTGACTCTGCCAGTGAAAGCGCTCCTTGCTGCCCTGGGGATAGGGGCAGTGGACGGGGTGAGCACCCTCAGGTGAGTGTGGTGAGGACATCCGGCTCACCTCCACTACAGCCTCTCAAGCTGACCCTCCTCAGGTGCCCCTCTGATGGTTAGTTTTAATTGTCAACTTGACACATTCTAGAATCACCTAGGAAGAGAGCCTCAACGGTGGATTGTCTAGATCAGGTTGGTCTGTTGGTATGTCTGTGGGGGATTGTCTTAATAATGTACGCTGAAGTGGAAAGACCTGCCCATTCTCCCCAGTCATGTCCCCAACCCTCTCACTGGATTCCAGGCAGGGGATCTACCCCAGAGCCACACCTCTAGTCCTTCTCTAGTGGATTCAAGACAGGCGCTCTACCAGTCCTTGGCTTTGGGTCCTGGACTTGATTTTGGAGGAGGCTGAGCACAAGTAAGCATGCACTCATTCTGTCTGCTCTTGTCTGTGGATGTGATGTGACTGGCTGCTTCCAGTTCCTGCCTGGACTTCTCCAGAATGATGTACTCCGAAGTTGTCAGCCAAGAAAACCCTTTCTCCCTTGAAGCTGCTTTTATCACTGTATTTTATCACAGCAACAGGAAAGAAACTAGGACAACCCTGCTCCTTCCCTCTCGGAGACACCAAATAGGTGGCTGAGGTCCAGCCAGGATCCCTGTGCAAAACAATGCACACTCCTGGGCCTTCTCTCTTGGCCCTCCTTCCACCTGTCCCTTTATTTCAAACCCACTTGCTGCAGAGGGCGGAGTCCCTTCCACTGCCATGCCTTCCACAGCAGGAGACAGTAGCATCTCTCATACTGTGAGCCAAAATAAACCTCTCTTCCTTTAAGTTGTTTCTGTGAGAAATTTAGGTCACAGTGTTGTGAAAGTAACTAACACATATGGCAAATTTGATCCCATCTCTCCATGTCTGAGACTGTGCATATGGCTGCCATCTCCCTCCTATTCCAGTCTACAGCAACGTTTCTTTTAAAATTTGCTCTATTTCTATCTTATGTACATCAGTGTTTTGCCTGCATGTATGTAAATGCACCACATGTGTACAATGCCTATAGAGGCCAGAAGAGGGTGTTGGATCCCTGGAACTGCAGTTATACACAGTTGTTAGCCACCATGTGGGTGCTGGGAAGCAAACCTGGGTCCTCTGCAAGAGCAGCCAGTGCTCTTAACCACCAAGCCATCTCTCAGCCCCTTTTCTTTGTTTTATAAATTTTTATTTATTGATTTATTAATTTATTGATTTTTATTTTATGTGTATGAGTATTTTGCGTGCATGCATGTAAGTGCATCCATGTCATCCAATGCCCATGGAGGCCAGAGGAAGGCGTCAGATCCCCTGGAACTGGAGTTACAGATGGTTGTTAGCCACCATGTGGCTTCTAGGAACTGAACCCAGGTCCTCTGCAAGAGCAGTTAGTGATTTTAATCACTGAGCCACCTTTCCAGGCCCAAAATTTATTTTAACCTGTTTATTTTTATTTTATGTGCATGAGTGTTTTGCCTCCATGTATGTATATGCACCACATACATGCAATGTTTGTAGCAGCCATAAGAAGGCATCAGATCCCCTGGAACCATAGTTACAACAGTAACAGCAGTTACTGTTGTTAGCTACCATGTGGGTGCTGGGAACAGAGCCCCAACCTTAAACTCTAAACCTTTAACCCTAACCCCAACCCCAACCCTAACCCTCTAAACCCTAATCCTGAACGCTGAATCTTGAACCTTAACCCCTACCCTGACCCTGACAGAGTCTCATGTAGCCCAGGCTGGCTAACAACTGTTTTTAACTCCAGCTCCAGGGGATCCAATGCCCTCTTCTGGCCTCTGTGGGCACTGATGTTCAAGTCAACGCTGACCTGGAACATCTGATCTTTCTGCCTCTACCTCTTGAGGACTTGGAGGACAGCTGTGTACCACCATGCCAGTTTATGCAGTGCTAGAGATCAAAGCCATGGCTTTGGCCGTGCAGGAGAGCACTCTTCTAGCTGAGTTACATCCCCAGGCACCTTTCTAGGATCCTTCCGAAGTATAATATAAGACAGGCATGTTGGCACACACTTGTAATCCCAGCACTTGGGAGGTGAAAGTGAGAAGATTGCCACGAATTGAAAGCCAGATTGGTTTACATAGTGAGTTCAAGGACAGCCAGGCCTATATAGTGAGACCCTGTCTCAAAAAAGGGCTAGTGAGGGGCTGGAGAGATGACTCAAGGCTTAAGAGTGTTTACTGCTCTTGCAGAAGACTAGTGTTCAGTTCCTAGCACCCACATGGTGGCTCACAATGGTCTATAACTGAACTTTCTGGGGATTGGATGTCTTCTTCTGGCCTCTAAGGGCTCCTCAGACATGTGGTGCACATACACTCATGCAAGCACACACACACGTATACACACAAAAAAGGGCTAGGGCTGGTAAGATGACTCAGTAGATAAAGGTGCTTGTAGCTGAGCCTGATGACCTGAATTTCATCCCTTAGACCTACAGATCCAAAGAAATAGATCCACTTGATCTTGGACTGAAGCCATGAATTAAATCCTTCCAGGGGCTGGAATAATGGCTCAGTAGTTAAGAACACCTGCTGCAATCCCAGTACTTGGGAGGCAAAGTAGGAAGGACTACCATGGGTTTGAGGCCAGCCTGAACCGAAGAATGAGGCTGTCTCAAAAAGCAAGCAAGGGTTAGAGTGATGGCTCAGCAGTTAAGAGCACCGGCTGCTTTTGCAAAGGACCTGGATTTAGTTCCCAGCACCTATATGGTGGTTAACAACCATCTTTAACTACACTTACAGGGGGTCTGACACCCTCTTCGGACCTCCCTGGGTATTGTACGCATGTGGAACAGTTACATACATGCAGGTAAAACTCTCATACACATAAAAATAAATCAAACAGGGGCTGGAGAGATGGCTCAGCGGTTAAGAGCACTGACTGCTCTTGCAGAGGACCTGGGTTCGATTCCCAGCACCCACATGGCCGCTACGAACCATCCTTAACTCCAGTTCCAGGGGAATCTGAAGCCCTCTTCTGACCTCCACAGCATTGCACGACACGGGTGCACTCACATACATGCAGGCAATACACTCATACACATAAAATTAAAGGAATAAAAAAATTTTTAAAAATCAAACAACAACAAATGAAGGGACTTGAGTGATGGCTCAGTGGTTAAGAGCACTGGCTGCTTTTGCAGAGGATCCTTATTCAGTTCCCAGCACCCACATGGTGACTAATAACCAGCCGTAACTCCAGTTCCAGGGGATCTGATGCTCTCTTCTGTCCTCCATAGGTATTGCACATACATAGTGTACTTACATGCAGGCGAAACACTCATACACATAAAATAATAAACAAATAAAATCAATAAAAACAAAAAAACAAATCAAAAAGGGGGGCTTGGAGAGATGGTTCGGTAGTTAAGACCACTTGCTCTGCAGTCATGAGAACTGCAGTCTGGATTCCTGTGTCCCTGCAAAATGCATTAACCCCAGTTCTGAGGGGTTGGAGAGATCGAAGGACGGCTGCCGCTTGCTAGCCTAGCAGAGGCAAGAGCCCCAGGTTCAGAGAGAGGCCCTGCCTTGGAGGAATAAGCAGAAAGTGATGGAAGAGGACCCAAAGGTCCTCTTTCGGCTTCCTCAAATGAGCGTGTACAGGCACTCCTGTGTGTACACATGTGCTCATACTTTTACACAGACATGCACACCTATGTACACATAAAGAAACGAACAGAAAAGTCTGAGGATGTGGTTCATTTGGTGGCGTGTTTCTCTAGCATGCACAAAACTCTGGGTTCTGTCTTCGACATTGCTTAAACCTTATGTGATATCCCAGGGTTGAAGAGGGGGAAGCAGGAGGACCAGAAGTTCGAGTCCATCCTTGGCTATACAGTGAGTTGGCTAGCCTGGGATAAATAAGACCCTGTCTCAAAAAATTTTTATTTGGGGGTCTGGAGAGATGGCTCAGCAATTAAATGTACTCTTGCAATTAAATGTACTCAGGTTCAATTCCCAACACCCACATGGTGGCTAACAACCCTCCATAACTCCAGTTCCAGGGGAATCTGATGCCATCTTCTAACCTCCATGGGCATTGCACAACATGGATGCACATACACACATGCAGACAATACATTTATACACATAAAATGATAATAATAAAATATTTTTTAAAATGTATTTTGGAAAATTTGCACACACATTATAAGGTATTTGAAGAATGGGACCCAAGTCTCAACTCAAAATTCATTGGAGGCAGAGCAGGCAGATCTCTGTGAGTTCGAGGCCAATCTGAGCTACTTGTGGCTTTTTCATACATACTTACCGTATGATTTTAGCATGAATGACCCCATTGTATTTTTCAAGACTGTGATCCCCTTGTATATACAAAATAATATTTAGATTTTGTTCAGATTGCTTTAAGAGTCAACCTTTGAGAAGATGGCATTCTGGAGGTCACACTGTTTGCTACTGTGAGTAAAATGGTCGACATTCCACTGGACATCAGCTTGCGGGTAGGGCATTTGTGCTTGTAGGTGCACCTGCATACAGGGTGTAAGAATGTTATATTAGGGGCTGGAGAGATGGTTCAGAGGTTAAGAGCACTGGCTGCTCTTTCAGAGGACCCCAGTTCAGTTCCCAGCACACAGAGGCTAGCACTTGTCCTTATGTCCTTAATCCCAGTTCCAGGAGATCCGACGCCCTCTTCTGTCCTCTGTGGGCATTGTATGACATGGGTGCACTTACACAGATGTAGGCAAAACACATACTTTAAAAAAAAAAAAAAAGAAAGTTGGGCTGGAGAGATGGTTCAGTGGTTAAGAACACTGGTTGTTCTTGCAGAAGACCTGGGTTCAAATCCCAGCACCCACATGGCAGCTAACAACTGTCTGTAACTCCAGTCCCAGGATATCTGATAGCCTCTTCTGACCTCTGCAGGCATTGCATGACATGGGTGCACTTACCTACATGCAGGTAATACATGCATACACATAAAAAAAA